TCAAATGGTGTCCCCTGCCTGTGTAAAGGTTCACACAGTGCTTAGAAGTCTGGCAAGTATCTTTTGGGCCTCAAAACAGGTTGCCATGTGCCATGACTCTCCTTTAGCTTCTTAGAGCTCAGTTCCCTATCAGCAATCCTGCAAACAAACATGAATGTTTATTCATAAGAACAGTGACCTTTTTAGGACAGCGAGAATTTAGGCTAAATATATAAAATAAAACATTTATCTCAAGGAGAATAATACTTGTCACACAATAAGTACAGGCAGCCCCCTATGTGAATCTCTTTGTGCTAAAACACTCAAGTTTTGGGGGCTCACCAGCTTCAACATCTATTCAGATGAGAGATCAGTGTAATTCTTACATCATTAAATGGCTTATTCAGGATTTTCAGGTCAAACAAACAACAATCTTCCCTAAAAGTAGATCCAATAACTGCAAAAGAAGCAACAATAAAATCCAGTTTACTCCTTTGACAGTTTTGTAGGTTCTTATCTTCTCCAACCAGGTTTCAATTGTTCAAGTTTCAGTAAAGGTACAAGTTCAAAGTTCTTGCTCCTTGATGAGCTGTCTCAGCTTTTAACTCTGTTTCCTCTGAGGAGGGTCTTTACCAGAGGTTGGGAATAGCAAAGGGGAACTTAGCTATTTTCATGCCTGAGGCATATGTAGACTTTTAAGTTGTTGCAATATGAATATCTTTATATATTAGTGCATAATTTAAAAAATAATCTGCCAACATCCCCATGAACAAAACAAAAGTAGAGATCCAGCCATGAATATGTTGAAGTATTCAGAGCCCATCTCATGGTATATCTCTTTTTAATGCACTGCTATAAAACTGGTCACCTTTTATAGGACCCTGTGTAAAAGTAAGATGCTGTTCTTGCTATTCTCAGATCTCATAAAACCCACATCACTTAGGATTCTTATGGTTGCATATAACAGACACCCAACTGAGAAAATTTAAAACAAATGGAAAATTTATTGTAAGACTATAAGTGTGAGTCATGGAACCCTGCTACTGCAATGTATCCAGGCCTCTAATGTCTTAATGGATGGGAATACTGCAGGTAACTGTATCAGTTAGCTAATGTTTCATAACAAACCACCCTTATCAAAACCACAGTTTACTATTTTTCACAAGTCTATTGGCTGGGCAGTTCTGCTCATCTGGACTATACTTGGATGATCTCAGTGGGGCATCTCCTTGTCTCTTTAGTCAGTTAGTGGGTCAGCTATCTGCTGGCTTTTTAGGATGATTTTGGCTGTAGCCACATAGCTATGCTTCTTATGCTCCCAGCAAGCAAGCCAAGCATGTTCTTAGATGGGTCAAAGATAAAAATTGTAAACATGCAAGGCTTCTTGTGATCAAAACTTGAAACTGGCACTCTGTCACTTTTACCAAGTCACAAGTCTAGCTCAGATCTAAGCAAAGGAACACTAGCTCCACCTCTTGTTGGGAAGACCTGCAGTCATATTGTTAAAGGAGTGGCATATATGAAGGGGAATAAAGAATTGGGGCCAGTTATGCAGTCTGTCTCCTGTAGTAACCCAAGGAAGAGTTGCTTATTCTTCTTTTGCTGCAGACCAGCTTTCTCTTTTACCTGGTCCATGTGATATGGTAGTAAATGGCACTGCTACCAGCTTCCAAGTTTACTTTTTTTTGAGATGGAGTCACCCAGGCTGGAGTGCAGTGGCGTGACCCTGGCTCACTGCAGCCTCTGCCTCCCAAGCTCAAGTGATCCTCCCATCTCAGCTTCCTGAGTACCTGGGACTACAGGATGGAGTTTTGTCGTGTTGTCCAAGCTGGTCTCGAACTACTGAGCTCAGGTGATCCTCCCACCTCCGCATCCCAAAGTACTGAGATTACGCGTGTGACTGCTCACAGCCCAAGTTTACATTTTGCTGTTCAAGAAGATAGGCTAAAACTGAATCCTCTACCTATACCATATAGCCTGAAAGAGATCTCAGTGGCTCATCTTGAGTCAGATGCCCACTCATGGATCAATAAACTATGATCTAGAAGACAGGGTCATATTGATGTTTCTATTACAGCCGTATAGATGGAAGAAGAATAGAGGGTAATTATCAGAGAAGGAAATAGCAACACAAATGTTATTCAAACATAATTACAGAGCTTACAAGTGGTTCCAGTGTGTCTTCAATTATTTTAGAAGAAATATACTTTTGCAGCTATGGCTTAGGTCATGAACAAAAGAGGAAGATGGATCCCTGTGCTGAGCAAGAGCCTGGATTCTAGGATAAGACTGCCTATGTTGGTGTTTCCCATCTCCTGCATCCTGACTTTGTGACATTGGGTGAATTCTTTACCTCCTTGTGATCCAGCTACCTTATTAGTAAAATTGGGAAGAAAATGATTCCTTCTTTATGGATTGTTATGAGGATTTAATTAGCAAATGGATAAGGTGTGTGTAACAGTGTCCATACATAGTAAATGCTCAAAAAATGTTAGCTATTGATATTGTTATTAGCATTAAAGAAAAAGTGAAACACACTGAGTATAAAATTCAGCAGTATAGCACTTGTCATTCCCCTCTATTAACCCTCATTGTCCAATGTATTTGCTAGGCGGTAGAGATTCCTAGTTTGAAATTAAATTAAGTTTGTCGTAAGATATGCTTATTGGAAATCCCAGATATGTGTATACCATTCTATTAGTCATCTTTTTTAAGGCATTCCTCCAGGTTTGTGTGTGTATGCTCACAAAAGACACAAAGAGTTAAGTCAAAAATGTATAAAGACCAGGAAGGCTAGTCTATCAGTAGCAGCAAAATGAAGATATGAACTATCAGAAGTTGGGGGATCAGATAGTGACCTGCTCCAGGCTGCCATAAATCAGAAAAGTACAGACATTTGAAGAAAGAAAAAAGATTCATCTTTATTTGTTTTTTCCCTAACTGCTACACAAAGCCCCAAAGCCTAGAAGTGTTAATAATTATATGACCAATAGTCCTAGCCAAAAAGAAAAAGAAAAACATGTAAATATTAAAAGATTAATTACAGATAATTTAAGTCATATGACATAGAATGCAAATAGGAGTTTAGTGAACACCAAATCAAGAACTTATTCTAGCAAAAATAGGAAGAATTGTCTAAGTTTTTAAAAATTTATTATGTAATTATTTTGAAGATCAGATTGTATCAAATGAACCCAGTCTAAAACTACATGCAAGATATTATAAAAATGTGTTAAAATAGCTTCTTCTGTTTTATTTACCACACCTACATTCTTTGTGCATTTTACATAGGAAGCAGCTAGAGCTCAAGCAGGCAATTCCTTTATAATCTTATCAAAAATAGAAGCCAATAGTTGTAATGACTCACTTGTTTCCTTCTACTTTCAGTCCTTATCTTGGGACCACAGACTGCACTGTAGTTTGAAGTAATTGTACATCTTTTGTGAAGCACTTTGAAATGATCTGACCATGTTTAGAATTCCCAAACAAAGCTCAGTTTGTTACTGAGCCCTATCTCTTTAATGCCACACTTCATATGATTTTGAGAACCTGCCCAAGTCACTGACAAAAAGATTAGAGCCAAGCCCTTATTTAAATTTAGAGATTTTTCTATAATTAAATCTATTTGTCATACTTTTCTTCACTTCTAAAATATATTATGAGCGTGTATTATTGCAAATTCTAGGTAACCTGATGCTTAGAATTTTTTTCTTCCTTATTGTCCTTGACACCAATTTATTTTTTCTCTGCATGAAATATAATTCAGAAATTTCAAAACAATGAATTCCCATATGAGATTAACCCAGGCACAATGGATTTGATTTTTAATACAGTGTTAAAATATGTGGCATGGAGGGTAGAGGAAACGGCTAGTAGCTCCCCCAAATTTTCCACTTAGTCTGTATTAACAAAGCCCCTGGTATCCATCTGGGCATATGGCTGCCCCACATCAAAGCTATGTTTCTTAACCTCCCTTGCAGTTGGGTGTGGCCAAGTAATTCCCTTCTGAACAATGGGATTTAAGTAGCAATCATGTATGACTTATCTTTGGACTTTCATGTGAGAGTATTAATTATCTCCACACCTCACCAACCACCTGTATTTCCTTCAAAAAAGGAATAGTGGGAAGTGATAATCAAGTAGTTATTAGTAATTAGTGATTATCATTAGGTACTATAAAGATAAAGAACCATGAGAGAGAGCTAACCATACTTCAATCTGTAATCAGGGTTAAAGTCCTGAGCCTTCTGGTGAAGGCTCAATTTCAATAGAAGTAGATCCATTCTTAAAAATATAAGACATTTGTACACTGATGATTGCTTTTCAAATGGAGGTTATTACATAATATAGACACTATCCAATGATTTACCTATGTTAAAGGTGAAAAATGGGAATTGGATCCAAATCATGGCGAGAGAGATCTGTGCTATAAAGAAAAATTTAAGGAAGAATTAAAAATACTAAAGATGATTAAAATCTACATAAAAGATCTCAATTTTGACTATATCTGAAAATGGGAGAAACACATACATTTTGTATTCCAGTTTCTTCAGTCTCCTTTCTGATACAGAGTTGGATGGGTCTGTTCATATTGTATCTTTTTAAAATTATAGAAGCACTTTTATGTGAAAATAAAATACAGTATTTTTTCTTATTTTTATGTTTTTTGTTTTGTTTTGTTTTGTTTTTGACAAAGTCTTGCTCTGTTTCCCAGGCTGGAATGCAGTGTCATGATCTTGATCTCAGCTCACTGCAACCTCCACCTCCCAAGTTCAAGCGATTCTCCTGCCTCAGCCTCCTAAGTAGCTGGGATTATAGGCACATGCCACCATATCTGGCTAATTTTTGTATTTTTAGTAGAGACAGTTTCAGGATGTTGGTCTGGCTGGTCTTGAACTTCTGACCTCATGATCTGCCCTCCTGGGCTTCCCAAAGTGCTGGGATTACAGACGTGAGCAAGCACGCCCAGCCATTTTTGTTTCTAATGAGCATTATTTAAAAATTATACTCACATTCAGACTTAAGTAATTCTTAGGGAAGCTAAAAAAAATAACACAGGCTTACATTTTCATTTTTGTCATGCAAGTTCTTAGGTAGTCAACTAAATATATATTTAATCATATCAAAGCATCCAGTTAAGCTATAATTTCTAAGCCATTTTGCAGGTCATACACAGGACAAAGATATCTTCATTGCACACTCTAAAGATTTTGTTTAGAACATCAGGTAAGATTGGATATAATTATAGTTTTCTTTATCAAATTTAGAAGGCTATCAACCACAACATACATTCATTCCACCACTCATTTTAATCCGGTCTGAAAAGCATAGGGCAAACATCATGCCCATCAGTTGTCATCTAGTCACTGGGGACAAATATGTTTAAGCTGAATTCTTTTGGATTTGAGGAAAGAAAAAATTATGAGAAGATTCTGCACTTCATTATAGTATCCTCTGCAAATTCTTGAATGTTGGCCATCTCCTTTCACTAGAAAAAAAAAAAAAAAGAGGCAATTGATGAATTTCTGTTAATTCTGCTACTCCTACAACAATAGCAAAACTGATGCTCTTTTTTTCTATTATTGCTTGAAAAAGAATCTTCAAAAACAGTCATATTTCTTTAAGTATATCTGGGCAGCTGAATCCCAGGGTTTTTTTTCCCTAAGTTTTACAAACACACACTATCAAGTTGACTACAACACCAGCACGTTTCCTAACTTTTCTATCTTCTCTCTAATTTTGATTACATTCTACTCATACTGGACATTGACACAGATAAAATGTAACATTGCTGAAGCATTCCTCTAATATCTTACCATGATAGTCTTTGTATATTTTTTTAAGTCATTTTTTTTTCCGGTAAAGAAAGGAAGATGGACCAGGAAGTAGGAGAACTAGATTCAATTTCTGCTTGTAGTGTGACTTTGGGCACCCAGGGTTGCAGTGTACATCACTGACTTATCTGTACTGTGAGGAGAAGTAGGCTAAATGATCTCTGGGATATTTTCCTCCAAATTACATTATGCTAAAGTTACAATTTAAACAAATGTTTAAAAATATTTGTTTGGTAGAATCAGGTAACTATCCCTCCCTTTTTATTTGCTTTCAAAACTATAAGCCATAGAAATGGTAGCACTTATGGTATAATTTTAGTGAGAATTTAAAGAAGATCTTTATTGATGTTAATAAAAATTATAATTGTATCATCTTTCTCAAATGAGTTTTTGGATTCAATATGATTATTTTATATTTGATGAGAATTCAAATATAGAGCCAGCAATTACAACTGAGAGTTATACATGGCATAAGTTAAATAATGAACAAATCTGCAAATTCATTACTAAAATAATATTTTTGTGGTTTTGTTTGTTTGTTTGTTTTACAAACCCTACTAATAGGCCCTCTGAATTTATCAATGGTTAAACTTTTGGAGAATAAATTTGTCATTCTAAGAAACTTTATTTAAATGATTAGAAACTGTCTAAGTAAAAACATTCTAAGTTTGAGGTAGATTTCATTATAATGCAAAGTTTTGACGTTAGCCATTTCTAGAGCCTGCAGTGCTATTTTTCTGGTTCTGTAATCATTAACTTAATCTTCTCAAAACCTATTCCTCTTTTTATTACTACTGTTAAGTCTCTCCCTCTCCTGCCCCTGCCCAAGCACTCACTCTCCCTCTCTGTACCATTGATTTATGGCACAGCTCACTCTGACCATTCTCCACCAGCTGCTGACCAGGCACTGAGACATCTGAAGGGTATACAAAATCCTGGGGGCCTATGGAATCAGTGCAGTCTGTCTATCATCTCCCAAATTTCTCTCTTCATTGGCTTTAGCCACAGAGCATTCTTCCGTTGTTGAGTAGGTGTAGATGTTTATGTTGTATAATAAATACAGTTAACATTATTTTATATCAACACCAAGTTTCTGTTTTTTACAGATTTTACCCAAATCATCATCAGTTTATGTATTCTTTCTTGGCCCTCAAACACAGTTACCTGAAAACTGATTTAAATCAGAATTATGCATCAGAAACCTTATAATTTATTAAGTTTGCCTTGGTAATTTTATTATCACTTTCCTTAATTCTCATATGATTTCTATTGATTTTATAATTCTGCAGAGAAAATGACAGATTATTTGGAAGATAATAGTACGGTTTATCAGCTGCTGCATGAATACAGATAACAAAAGAAAGAACTATAACTTAAGGAACACCTGATTTATAACCAAAAGACAAACAATTCAGACTGATTACCCAACAGCTGTCTTCACTGTTCTGAGGAAAATCTTTGGAATATAGTATTATAGTCTCTTAACTTTAGCATACTGATGTGGACATCAGAACAGGTAACTTTTAGATAACCAAAGGCTGTGACGAGCTAAAGTCGAGGACATTCTGAGTCATACTTAACTTGAAATTATAAGTTGAGCCGTGATAAATACTCTAAGATAAACTAAAAATCTTTGTTGAGAAATGTAGACAAGAAAGGAAAGTTAGGTAATCAGAGAACCCAACTATTTAGACAGAACATTGTTCAAAGCATTCCTGAACTAACACTGAGCTGTCTTTGTTTCTGTAATTCCCAGATGTACTTGCAAGGTATATACTTTCAATTGGAATCATATTTTATGTGTGACATTCTTAGTTAGAAACATTTCATGATTTAATCACTTGCTCTTAGAGAAGAAGCTCCAGAGAAATAACATTTTGGGAATTTATTTTCTTTTTAACTTTTATTTTAGGTTTGGGGGTACATGTAAGGTTTGTTACATAGGTAAACACATGTCAGGGGTTTGTTTTACATATTATTTCATCACCCAGATATTAAGCCCAGTACACAATAGTTACCATTTCTGCTCCTCTCCCTCCTCCCACCCTCCCCCCTCAAGTAGACCCCAGTGTCTACCTTCTTTGTGTTCACAAGTTCTTATCATTTCCATCCCACTTATAAGTGAGAACATGTGGTATTTGCTTTTCTGTTCCTGTGTTAGTTTGCTAAGGATAATAGCCTTCAGCTCCATCCATGATCCCACAAAAGACATGATCTTGTTTTTATGGCTGCATAGTATTCCATGGTATATATATACCACATTTTCTTTATCCAATCTTATAATTGATGGGCATTTAGGTTGATTCCATGTCTTTGATGTTGTGAGTAGTGCTGCAAAGAACATTCATGTACGTATGTCTTTATGGTAGAATGATTTATATTTCTCTGGGTATATACCCAGTGATGAGATTGCGGGACCAATCTCAAATGGTAGTTCTGCTCTTAGTTCTTTGAGAAATCACCATACCGCTTTCCATAATGGTTTAACTAATGTACATTCCTACAAACAGTGTATAAGTGTTCATTTTCTCTGCAGTCTTGCCAGCATCTGTTATTTTTTTTTGACATTTTAGTAATAGCCATTTTGACTGGTGTGAGATGGTATCTCATTGTGGTTTTGATTTGCATTTCTCTAATGATCGGTGATGTTGAGCTTTTTTTGTTTGGTTGGTTCATTTTTTGTTTGTTTGTTTGTTTTTCTGAGACAGAGTCTTACTCTGTCACCAGGATGGTGTATAGTGGCACGATCTTGGCTCACTGCACCCTCCACCTCCTGGGTTCAAGCTATTCTCCTGCCTAAGCAGCTGGGATTACAGGTGCATGCCACCACACCCAGCTAATCTTTGTATTTTTAGTAGAGAAGCGGTTTCACCATGTTGGCCAGGATGGTCTCGATCTATTGACCTTATGATCCACCCGCCTTGCCCTCCCAAAGTGATAAGATTACAGGCGTGAGCCACTGCGCCTGACCATTGAGCTTTTTTTATATGCTTGTTGGCCACATGTATGTCTTCTTTTGAGAAGTGTCTCTTCATGTCCTTTGCCTACTTTTTAATGTGGTTGATTGTTTTTCTCTTATAAATTTGTTTAAGTTCCTTATAGATGCTGAATACTAGACCTTTGTCAGATGCATAGTTTGAAAATGTTTCCTCCTATTCTGTAGGTTGTCTGTTTACTCTGTTGATGGCTTCTTTTACTGCCAGAAACTCTTTAAGTTTAATTAGATCTTACTTGTCAATTTTTGCTTTTGTTGGGATTGTTTTTTGGGTCTTTGTCATGAAATCTTTGCTTGTTTCTATGTCCATGATGGTATAGCCTAGGTTGTCTTCCAGGGTTTTTATAGTTTTAGGTTTTACATTTAAGTCTTTAATCCATCATGAGTTAATTTTTTTATATGGTCTAAGGAAAGGGATCCAGCTCCAATCTTCTGCACATGGCTAGCCAGTTCTCCCAAAACCATTTGTTGAATAGGGCATCTTTTCCCCATTGCTTGTTTTTGTTGGCTTTGTGAATATCAGATGGTCATAGATGTGCTGCCTTATTTCTGCACTCTCTACTCTTCCAATGGTCTTTGTGCTTGCTTTTGTACCAGTATCATGCTGTTTTGGTCACTGTAACCTTGTAGTATAGTTTGAAGTCAGGTAACATGATGACTCCAGCTTTGTTCTTTTAGCTTAGGATTACCTTGGCTATTCAGGCTATTATTTGGTTCCATATGAATTTTTAAATAGTTTCTTCTAGTTCTGTGAAGAATGTTATCGGTAGTGTGATAGGAATAGCAATTAATCTGTAAATTGCTTTGGGAAGTATAGCCATTTTGATTGTATTGATTCTTCCTATCCATGAGCATAGGATTTCTATTTGTTTGTGTCTTCCCTGATTTCTTTGAGCAGTGTTTTGTAATTCTTATTGTAGAGATCTCTCACCTCTGTGGCTAGCTGTATTCCTAGGTATTTTATTCTTTTTGTGCAGTTGTGAATGGGATTGCCTTTCTGATTTGGCTCTTGGTTTGGTTGTTGTTGGTGTACAGGAATGCTAGTAATTGGGACCCATGGACCCATTCTTAAAAACTATGCTGAAACCATTTATAAAGAGAAAAATTCAAAATATTGGAAAACATGTTAAACATCTAATTTTTAGACTTGCGTTTAGATTATATGATCACCCTTTTTAGCAAATGTACCACATTTAAAATCTGATAGATTTTTGTCATCATACTGCTGTATTCTGCTAGTGAATCCAAATTATTTAATAGCCTGCCATCAAATTCTTTAACAAATTCATCATCTAAGATTAAGGTGCTAAATGTTCACTCTACTGCTGGGTGCGTTTTCTCCAATTTCAACAACAAATTTTTACAAACAACAGACAAGTTCCTTCTAGCTTTGTAAATGATTCAGTGCTTCATTACAAAAATTTCTTGCTTCTGTTGAATTATTCATACTGCTGTTATCGAATTAACAATTCTGCCTCATTTTGTTAGAGCAACTCATTTTTCCGTCACATGAAGAATTTGAAAAAGGTATGTATGTGATGTAAATGAGTGATGTTGAATGAGTTTATCTTTAAGGTCCTTTTAAGATTTCTATAGTAAAACATTAATTTTGTTGTTGTTGTTGTTTTTGTTTTTGTTGTTTGAGACAGGGTATCACTCTGTCACCCAGGCTAGAGTGATCATACGTAGCTCACTGCAGCCTCAAATCCTGGGCTCAAATGATCTTTTCACTTTAGCTCCTCAGTAATTAGGACTACAGACCCATCCTCACAAGTGTGAGGTAGTATCTCCTTGTGGTTTTGATTTGTATTTCCCTGATAATTAGTGATGTTGAGCACCTTTTCATATACCTGTTGGACATTTTTATGTCCTTAGAGAAATGTTTATTCAGGCCCTTTGCCCATTTTAAAATTGGGTTATTTATATTTTCGTCTATTGAGTGTGCAAATTTTATTTATATTTTGGATATTAACAGCTTACCAAACATGATTCTCAGATATTTTCTCCCACCTTTTCATTTTGTTGATTGTTTAGTTTGATGTAGTTTATCTTGTTTATTTTTGCTTTTGTAGTCTGAGCTTTTCCTATCCAAAAAATCATTGTCAAGGCCACTACCAAGGAGCTTTTTCCTTGTTTTATTCTAGAATTTTTATGGTTTCAGGTCTTATGCCTAGGCCTTTAATCCATTTTGAGTTGATTTCTGTGTATAAGATAAGGGTCCAGCTTCATTCTTTTGCATGTGGAGTAGCCAACATCTTGACATTCCCTGGAAACTCTGTAAATTGCAGGGGTGAAGATGTGGGCATAGGGTAGGAGTTAGCACACAAATTCACAGGCGGGTATCAAGAGAAAATCCTCTTACATCCTTGTAGAGATCCCAACACTGAGACCTTTCCTGGGAAAATGCCCACTCTAAAATTGTATGTGTTTTAATTGAAAACAGTCAAATCTTATTTATTGGTTTTTATTGCTGCTTTAACAAATTACCACAAACAGTGGCTTAAAACAACACAAATGTATTCTGGTTGGTTCTACAGGTCAGCAGTCAGAACATAGGTCTCACTGAGCTAAAATCAAGGTGTTGGCATTGCTGAGTTCATTTCTAGGAACTTTCTAGTTCCTTTCTAGGGGAGAATCCATTTTTTCCACCAGCTTCTAGAAGTTTATATTCCTTGGTTCATCTATTAATTCATTTGCATAGTGCTATAAGGTACTTCCTGAGACTGAGTAACTTATAAAGGAAAGAGGTTTAATTGACTCACAGTTCAGCATAGCTGGGGAGGCCTTAGGAAACTTGCAATCATTGTAGAAGGCAAAGAGGAAGCAAGGCACCTTCTTCACAAGGCAGCAGGAAGGAGAAGTGCCAAGCAAAGGAGGAAGATCTCCTTATAAAACCATCAGATTTTGTGAGAACACACTCATTATCATGAGAACAGCATGGGGGAAACCACCCCCATGATTCAACTACCGCTACCTGATCTCTCCCTTCACATGTGGGGGTTATGGGGATTACAATTCAAGCTGAGATGTGGGTGGGAATGCAAAGCCTAACCATATCAGTTTATAGCCCCTTCCTCCATCTTTAAAGCCAGCAACAGTGGGTCTAGTTTTTCTCATGCTGCTATCTCTCTGGTTTTATACAGCCAGGAAAGGTTCTCCATTTTTAAAGACTCAATTGATTAGATTGAGCCCACCTCGATAATCCAGGATAATTTCCCTGTCTCAAGATTCTTAAATATATTCACATATTTTTATGTGTTTATTTAAATTTTATTTATACAGAAAGATAGGGTCTTCCTTTGTTGTCCAGTCTAGTCTTGAACTCCTGGGCTTGGCCTCCCAAAGTTCTAGGATTACAGATGTGAGCCACTGTGTCTGGCCTTATTCACATCTTGAAAATCTTTTCGCCATATAAGGTAACATATTCATAGGTTCCAGGATTAGGCCATGGACAATTTTGGGGAGGTAATTATTCTGCCTACTACACCTTGGAAGGCTTTCATTTGCTAACCTTTTATCATTCTTTCCTCTCTCTGTCTATACTGATTCCATGAATATTCTATCTTCACTTTGCTTTCTTCTCCAGGAATTTCATTTATTATCATACAGTTGACATTTAATGAAGATGACTTTTTATTACCAACATACAATGAATTGAGCATTTTTTGTTAAAATTTCAGTTAACACTGAAGTCAGTAATCTGTTACTTATTTTCACTTAAATGGCATGTATGTTATTAAACAGGCAACATTTTAGCTGATATAGTAGCTTGTAACAACTACATATAAACTGTGCTTATTTTCTTATTAGCTAAAAATGTTGACCTAATAAATGAAGCTTTTAAATCTAGAATGCCTTCTGACTAGGAGATGAACTGATTTTCTGTTAGTCAAGCTGGTTTTCAAGGTTGCTAGTGACTTGACTATCCCTGTGTAAAAACTGAACTAAAACTTAAAATTTAAACATTTAAAAAATATTACAGGGATGGGAGCACAGGACAGGTAATGGAAGGAGATTAGAGTATTAGGTAAAGTTATTACCCTTATGAGTTGTATTTGTCATATAACCTCTGGTTCATGGCTTTTTAATTTCAAGTCACTAAACTGTACTCACTTTACAACTAGTGTTTCTAAGCAAAGGAGGAAGAGCTCCAGATAAAATTCAGCACAGATAAAAATTCAGTATATTCAGTTAAATTTGAATTTCAAATAAACAAAAAATAGTTTTTTAGTATAAGGATGTCCCATGTATTATTGCAATATTTGGTTAAATACTTATACCAAAATTGTAACTTTTCTGAAATTCAAATTTATCTGAGTATTTTGAATATTTATTTGATAAATATGGCAATCTTATTTGTAGCTAAAATTTTCATATCTCTGGCAAAGATCAAGTTAAATTTGTCGTCAATTGTTCTGCTAAATTTCTAAGCACTTGAATTAAGGGTGGGATGATGAAGCCATTCACCATTTAGGGAAACAAGTTGAGTGCCAACATTTCTTCCTCTTCTTTCCTGTAAGGAAATTTATGAGAAATAAGTTTTGTGGCTTCTTACGTTATACTTTTTATATTTGAATCACAGGCTGTCTAATTCAGCAACATTTGCAAGAATATAGAAGGCAATGTAAACTAACCTTGGAGTATCATTTCAAATAAAGATAGATTAAGCTCAGTGTAGTACACAAACATTTGTATAACCTTTTCAAAACTTTATTTTCAAAAACACTGTTTTTAAAGTTGCCACAGATCAAATTCCATTAACATTACCAGCTCTAAATAAACTGTATTGGGCCAGGTGCAGTGGCTCATGCCTGTAATCTCAGCACTTTGGGAGGCCAAGGGAGTTAGAGACCCGCCTGACCAACATGGTGAAATCCTGTCTCTACTAAAAATAAAAAATTAGCTGAACATGGTAGCACGCACCTGTAATCCCAGCTACTCAGGAGGTGAGGCTAGAGAATCACTTGAACCCAGGAGGCAGAGGATACAGTGAGCCGAGACATACCACTGCACTCCAGCCTGGGAGGCAGAATGAGACTCTGTCTCAAAAGAAAAAAAAAAAAGAAATATATTATTTAAGTTCTTGTCACCAGTAGAAATTTTTGATGTATCAGATGTTGCTTAAAATGAAGGGGTAAAGGGGCAGCTGGCTTGTTGTTCACACATCCTTGGACTGTTCAAAATGTTAGTTGAATATGGATTTTTTTGCCATGGGGTTCTCCTAGTAGATGGCTGGAGCTCTTGGATCAAATTTCTTTCTTCATTTTACCTTTGCCATCAACCCTAATGCCTTTTACATCTACATTAGTACATTTTAGGCTTCTTCACTCTTTCACTCTCTAATTTTGCACATGTTCACTTTCCCAACATATTTTCCATATATGGGCATGGCATTAACCCTGGATTTTATCATCATAAATTTCACAGACAGTAAATGGATCCATTCCTTCTTTAGAACCACATTCTTGTAGCTTCTGTCTTCTCTACTCCTCTATCAGGCCACTAGTATTTCTTCACCCAGTGAGTCTTCCTTGACTGCCTTGCACTTATGCCCTGTTTGACTTCCATTCTGACCATTCGAACACTATAGATCACCTTCCATCATGAAAGTAATGACCTGGGCATCAGTTTTGTGACCTCACAAACTTTCTTCTTTGTCACCTGATCCTTGACAAAAAGAACTCTGCTAAAGGATAGAAGACACTGTGGGCCAGATCTACTGCAAAGTCAAATGTGTCATTAGAAGGATTATGAGTATGTCTAGAGTCAGACTAAAGTTTGAGAGGCATACAAAATCCAATCAGGGCTAAAAGAGTTTGAAAATTTTGCAGAGTCCTATTAGGCAGTAAGGAGATTAATGAAATCAAGTCAGAGCATGAAGGAAGTTAATTGCAATCATGGTAAGGATGCAGAATTCTCACTATCCCAGTTAGGTGATTAAAATTGGTTTGTGAGCTGCATAGACTTGCTGACATAGCTTGTATAAAATAGGTACAATCTACTTTGTGATTCTGGAAGAATCATGGAAGTATAGATTTCAAGTCCCCTCTCTGGTCTTAAATTTCTGAACAATAAATAAGCTATCAAGATCTTAGAACTTTGATTTAATAACTTCATTCTATTAATACTTGAGATGATAAATCTCCTTCACTAAGTAAATGTCTTGAAACTCAGGAAAGCTTAGAATTAAAATGGATGCAATTAAATAAATGAAAGCCATGATACTTAGGCCATTATATAAGAACATTTTACACATTATTAGGGAAATATATGTATGTGTTATTTAATCTGAGGGATTATACATGTGACTTTCATTTGAAATGTATATTTGGTTTAGTCATGTGACTTCAGTGGAAAAGAGTAATAGAGTTTGAATAATTAAAATGGGTTTTGGAATATTTATGACAATCGTGATTCATATTTTCATAGATGTAATTTGTTAGCTCTGTAGAAGTGATATTGGAGCTGTGGAAGGCCTTACTTTTTAGGGCATAGGTGTCCCTGTGCAAACACTTGAAATGCTTACAAAAAATCAAATCTATTAAATTTATAATTAAAATGTGGCAAACTGTAATTAAGTATTTAAACAGAATTACTTACATGATTGTAATCTGTTCAACATGAGTTACTTGAATCCATGTTCAATTTAAAAGAACAATAAAAGAACATCTGAAAGTGATTATTCTTATTTTAAACAAAAATATTCAATCGTTTAAGTGAAAGGTTTGGATGTTGACCTCAAAGGTTTAAGAAAATTATACATTTAAAAATATTTGAATATTAATTTAAAACCTAAATAACTATAAATAGCCTTTTCTGAACACAAACTGAAACGATCTAACACTCAGTGCTCATTTTCACTTCCCTCCTTTTTTTCCACTATCAGAATATACTAAACACTTTTTTGTTTTACCCCCAAATACTTCTTTTTTGTCCAAACCCTGTTGAGATTCTGCCTCAGATATTAGAATATATTTCCTAAAATGAAGCTCTGAGTGATTGCTTCTTGCTTTGAGATTTTGGTACCCTTTTTCTCTTCTTGTATTCACTTTCGACTTAACTGTAATAATTTTTCAGTCAGAGCAACTCATCTGTTAACTCACCTAAAAGAATATATTTCCATCTTTATATCTTGTTGTTTGGTACTGGGTAGACCAGTTGTTTACATCAAATCATGGACTGAATGATTAAGATATTTCAATAATTCATCAAATTTTTTTACACTTTATTGAGGTATAATTTGCATGCTGTAAATTTTTCCCATTCGAAGTGCATAAGTCAATAATTTTTAGTAAATTTAGTAATTATTCTACTTGGGTGCAGCAGTTCAGCAATACTCTCAGTGACCACTGTTCTTTGTATCTTTCCCTTCTGCCACCCTCAGTGGTTTGATTTTCTTTCTGAAGTTTGTGTAAGGCAAATTTGCAGTACACCTATGATAGCTCCAGGAACTGCGTCTTCAAAGTAATGCATTCACAGGCAGAAGAAGCTATAGTCCTTCTCACTGTTTCTCTTTTTATTAAGGATCAAAATTCCTCCCAGAAATCCCCACAGAAATTTCCCTTACATTTGTTTGACTGATACTAGGTCACGTGGTTATTCCTGATTTGGTAACCCAATGGGTTACCATGCTAACTTAGACCAATTATACTGCAAACCCAGCCTTCATCACCTAGCACTGGGTGAGAAATAGAAGCTATACTATTTCAGATCTCACTAGCATCATGATTCCTTTGACAATCTTTAGAATTCATGTTGGGACTGTCATTTTATCTTTCTAACCCTCAGTTTCCTGCTTTGTAAAACTTTGTAAAAGAAGGGGACTGGAGTTAGACTAGGGTCAGGAAAATCTCTGAAGATTCCTTCCAGTGTAAAAGACTTGTTGGTCCCTTAGAGTTTTTCACAATTTCCAATATCCATTCCAATGGGACTTGTAGGGAGCCAAGCTCCATTCTGACTTGATTCCAGGAATCAAGGTGTAGAGGTGAGAAAGAAATTTTTCTTTTCATTTATCTTTAGCCAGATCTACTTTTTTATTCATCTGGCTTTGCTTGGAGCTATAGGCTTGTGTTATCTTGGATTTTAATATACTTCTATTAAGATAGTATTGAAAGAATTAAAATCCGGGGCTCATTGTTAAAACCCCCTGGTTTAAAATATGTCTTTGTGGTTTGGCTTATCTGCTATTTTATTTTAATTAGTTTATTTTTTTTTTCTTGCAGCCACAGCAATTGTCTATTTTAAAAGCACCATGATGCCTAAATATTCCAGCTGCTACATAGGACAGGTGTCTGACGATCCTTAGAACACTCATCTAAAAATAGAACTTGAGCCTGGAATACATTCTCTGGCATAGCCATAGGCAATCACCAATATAGTTAATGTAAATGGGCACTGGATAGCTTTTTTGTGATTTCTAATGCAGCACAAAGAGACTTTCACTGCTTCCGAAAAGAAAATGTTTAAGATTAAAATCTAGAGTTTTATGACATAGAGGAAATTTTATAGCTTACTTCAAAAAGGATAAGGCACAAAATATTCTGTGCCAAAGGATGCATATTTGGTACTTTTCCTATGAATTCCATAGTGTAAATGGCATGATGAGATTTTCTTGGTTTCAACACAGATGATGTATTGAGGTGGTGTTGAAGCTGAGAGGTGGGTGGGATGGGTCTTGGAGAAAGAAAAGATTTCTTTTGCGACATTTGTGGAGAGCTGATGCAGTAGTGAGGCTCAGATGAGGGACATTTACTTGCTACTTAGAGTGCACTAACATCTGCAGCACTTTATTTACATTATCCACACAATTACCATGGGAAACCTATAAAGTAAGTATTCCTCTCTTCATTTTACAAATGGGGAAACAGATATGATTAAGAAAATTTTTTAAGTTCACACAATTATTAAGTGACAGAAGTAGGACTCAAACTCAGGTTTGATTAATTTTAGAGACTTGCTTTTAACCACTTGGACACTGCCAACCATGGAATTGTTGGTTTGAAAAAAAAAAAGTATTCTTGAGGCATATTATCTATGGTCTTAATATCAGAGAAGTGCAGTTGAGTCACTATTAAAGAATGTGGTAAATTATAAAATAGATAATATACAAAGGTATAAAACTACTTATAAATATTTATGTTTGGGGTAAAAGGTATCAAAATAAGGCATGCTTAGTAGAGGGGTAAGGAACTCTTAGGAGAGATTGATCAATTGGGAGATCATTGATTAATTGGGAGTTAATTGATTAATTGGGATTGATTAATTTGGGAGTAGGTGGGAAGATAGGAAGTTATATAAAATAAAGGAGAGATAACTTAGTACCTGGAAAAAAAGAAGTGGAAATTTAGGTAGCAGCTAAGGGTTCAGTGAAAAAAGAAGGAAAAAAGATATTGGAAGGGAACAATGCATGTAGCATGGAAGATCTAAGATGATGGGAGTTCAGGGGCTGATTACAGCTGTAGGGAAAAAGTAATGTATAAGCTGGAGCTAGAGATAAGAGCTAGGTAAGTTGGGCCCCGATAGGAAATAATTATAAGGACTAGAAGGAGCAGGAGCCATGTGGAAAAACATCATATAGAACTTTTAAGCTTGACCTGTTCATCTGTAGGAAAAGTAGCATGCTTGAATATCGAATTGACCTGACTGAACTAAGTTGAAATGTACTGTAGTTTTATATCCATATGCACTTGGTCTGTGGAGTTGTGGGAAAAGTATCAGTGAGTAGGAAGCCCATGGATATGGGTCAAGTATTAAATATGCTATTTACTGTCTAGCTGTGTGACCTTATATAAGTCACTTATGGTCTCTGAGCCTTCATGTATTCATCTATAAGATGACTTGTTCTTTACATTAAATGGGATGTGGTTTGCAAAGAGCTGAATGCATAGTGATACAAAATCACTTTCTGTAATACTATTTTTTAAATATTTTATTTTTGTTTGTTTGTTTTGAGATGGAGTTTCACTCTTGTTACCCAGGCTGGAGTGCAATGGCGCAATCTCGGCTCACCGCAACCTCCGCCTCCTGGGTTCAAGCAATTCTCCTGCCTCAGCCTCCCGAGTAGCTGGGACTACAGGCATACACCACCATGCCCAGCTAATTTTTGTATTTTTACTAGAGTCGGGGTTTCACCATGTTGACCAGGATGGTCTCGATCTCTTGACCTTGTGATCCACCTGCCTCGGCCTCCCAAAGTGCTGGGATTATAGGCATGAGCCACCGTGCCCAGCCAGTTTTTAAATATTTTAAATGAAAAAATAATGAACTTTTAAATTAAAAGATTCAAAAGGGATTAAAAAGGTATACAATGAAAAGTAATTCTTCTTCCCACCTGTAACTGTCCTACTCCTTAGGATAGTCACTATAAACAGATATCCTGAATTCTTCTATAAATATTATATATAAAATCTCCTTATTTTTTTCTTTTTACTATTTTAAATGGGTATAAAGTACACTTTGCTTTTTTTATGTAATAATATATTCTGGGGATCATTTCCTAAAAGCACATGTAAACATACCTTATTATTATAAAGGTTTGAAAATATCAATTTATTGGACCTGTCCCCTCTTGATGGATAATTAGGT